TATGTTAGATTCAGACCCTGTTTGGTCCACATTATTTTTTTCATTCTCATTCTTCTACTCATTTTCAACTACATATTCTTCAATAAAATAATATTTTCTATCATATCAATAATTTTTCTTTCTTTTTCAATAACATATTACTCATCACATCAATAGTAAAAATACATTCCTACCTTCAAAATGTGCACCAAACGGAGGCTCAACAAACAACATTGATTTGAGCGATGAATGAATAACACAGTGCATAATTTAGTAATCATTAAGATATAATTTTAAATTCAGTTATTATATAGTAACAATGGGTATAGTTCAAATATCATTAAGATATAATTTTAAATTTAGTTATTAAGTAGTAACAATTTTTTTTTTCTCAAATCGACCTCCGTGGAAGGAAAAAATAAAGAAAATGAAGGGGAAAATGAGGAAACTAAAAATTAGGGGCACGTAAATTGAAGAAAAAATAGAACTTTTCAAAATTGGGAATCACAAATTTCTACAAAAGATTCAATTTTGTCTGCGAGCATCTCATTTTTTTTTTTTAAAGGATTTTTCGAAAAAATTTATTGATTTTTTGAAAGTGGTGGTTGATATTTCTGCAAAAGATTAGATTTTTAAAATTTTAAGATCAAAGGTTTTTGTAAAAGATAGGATTATTTGTTCACTTTGGAACGAAATTGGATTGTGGAATTAGGCAAGTCAGATTTCTGCGAATTATTGGATATTTGAAAGTGGATTCCAAATGAAAAAAATTGATCTTTTACAGAAATCTATGATGGTCAATTCTGAAAAGTTCTATTTTTCTTCGATTTATAGGCCTTTGATTTTCGATTTTTCCATTTTTTTCTTCATTTTCTTTGATTTTCTACTTTCACAGAGATCAATCTAAGGGAAGAAGAAATTTTTACTGTTTAATAATTGAATTAAAAAATGTATTTCATTAGTCAATGAACTATGCATCGTGTTATCCATCAATTGTTTAAGTCGACGCTATTTGTTGAATCTAACAATTTTTTTCACTTGAGTGATGGATGGGTAACACGATCTATAGTTCAGTGATCAATGAAATACATTTTAAAGTTAAGTTATTAAAATATAGTACTTGATATAGCATAGTGATCATTCAAATAATTAACTCGAGAATTGAGGTATAAAAAGTCTGCAACTTTTTCTTTTATAGGGAAACGTTGATGGCATCTAAGGAGGAAATTCCAGTTGCTGAAAGTGGAAATTCGTGGGTAAAACACTGTTTGTCACAAATTGTGTCTCGATGTTCCCTCATGTATGCTATGTTGGTGGTTCATCTCATGAATTAAGTCCGTCTCTTTTGATATGGTGATCATACTCGATAAAATTTACCTTTAAAGTTGACTTATAAATGATGACCATACATGATCATCTAATAAATTATTGATCTGATTTTTAACAAGATTATTTAAGAAGTATATTTGATTGAAGCAGGCCGGCCCGGACCCAAAGCAAATTAGGTCATTGCCTTGGGCCTCAAGATCTGCAGGGCCTAAAAAATTATAGTAGTCTAATAAAAGTTTGAGGAAATTACACAAAATTAGATTTTTAAAGATTCAATTTCAAAAATCAGACATTTTATTTTAAATATTAATTTCATACCAAACCCTAATCAATTTCATTCCAATTTTCCTCCCCCTCTCTTCTCACCGTCACTCTCTCATCTCCACTATCCTCCCTCTCCGTCGATAGCCCAGCCTCTACGAGACGGAGGGAGCAAATCCTTGGGGCTAAACGATTTCAGAATTTTTGTTTTTAATTTTCCATTTTTACCTCAACGATTTCAGAATTTTTCAATAATATCTGTTTCAGAAGCCCTTGATTTCAATAAACAAATATCAAGCAGAAGCCCTCAAATTCGGGTGGATTTTTGCCATATATCAAACAGTCAGTCAAGAACATTAGCATAACAACGATGAAGATGAGCAAGGCTGAGGGGTGGAGTTAGCAGACTAATCAACAAGGGGGCGATTAGCGTAGATGGCGAGTAGTCACAAGGATTGGGCCGAAGTGGAATTGGATTTTTTTCCGGGTCGAGCAATGGGGTTGTTTTGTTCTTGTTTCTATTTCAGATTGTGAGATAGTGGTGGCGACGATGAGGTGGTGGTGTTGTGATAGTGAGATGGTGATGGCGATTGTTATGGTTGTGGATCGGATGCGGCTGTGGTAGTGTGGTTGTGGCTATAATAATTTTGAATTTGATTATTTAGTGGTGGTTGGATGATAGTCGTGCAGGTGGTGTCGTGGTGGTGTGTGCGGTGATGATGCTAGTGGTGGTGGTGTGGTGAGTGGAGGCGGGGTGCAGCGATGATGGTTTTGGGCTTTTGGGTTGGTTTCTTCATCCGATCTGCTTCGTCGGGTGTTTAGCGGTGCTCCGATCTGCTATGACCATTTAAATTTCAACTGCGAAGGCGGTTTTTGTTGGTGGTGTGGTGCGAAGGTGATGGTGGTAGTTGGGGTGATGTTGTGGCGGGGGCGACGACGATGGATGTGGCTATGGGGTGATGACAGTGGTGATTTGGGTGGTGTTATGGCGGTAGCGGGGTGAGATAGTATTTGTGACCATGGTGGTGGTGTTCTGAGGAGGGCGATAGTTTTAGTCGTGTGGTGCAGGCGGCAACGGTGGTGATTTGGGTGGTGTTGTGGTGTGGGGTGGGGGGGGAGGTTGAGATAGTATTTGTGACCAATTATTTGATTGATTTGTGACCAATTGTTGGCTGAGGATCGGGACAGATATGGGGTGTTTGAAGTATGTGACCGACTATTTAGTTTATTGTGACTTATTATTAATCTGTGACCTTAAATTTTGATAATTTGTGACCAAGAAATTTGAAAATATGCGACCTATTGATAAACTATGATCTATGATTTTTTTTTATTCGTGACTAATGAAGTAAATTGTGACCTATAAAGTTTTTAATTTGTGATCTCGAAATAATTTGTGACCTATAAAATTTCTGATTTGTGACCGTAAAATAATTTGTGACTTTTCAATTTTTGATTTGGGATTGATAAACAAATTGTGACCTATAAAATTTTTGAATTGTGACTGTAAAATAATTTGTGATGTTTCAATTTTTTTATTTGTGACCGATGAACAAATTGTGACCTATAAAATTTTTGAATCGTGATCTTAAAATAATATGTGACATGTAAAATTTGTGATTTATGACAAATTAATAATATGTGACGAATTATATAGAATTTGTGATCAAATTATATAGAATTTTAATTAATAAAATATATGTTTAATTCATTAATTTAAAAAATCTGAAATTTGAAATTTTAAACTTAAGTTCTTAAATTTGAAATTGGTAAAACTAAACATCTTAGTTATGTATTGTTCCCTAAAAGTTTTCATTTATATTTCTTTGAGTTGAGTCATTTATTCCTTTAAAAAGCAACAACAAAACAACAAAATTGGACTAAATAAGAGGCTTAAAGTGCTTGAACACTTAACTTACATTCTTGATTTAAGATATAAAATGTACATACAATTAAACTATTACCTAGTGCTATATCTTTTTTTTTTTTTTTTTTTTTTCCTATATACAAAAATCTAGAAAAAAATCAATGAAAAAAAAAATTTAAAAATATTCCCTATAATTTTTTTGCTAAACTTATAAAGTTTCTTTAAATTTTATGAAAGTTAAAAATAAGTTATTTATTTTATAAGTGTTCATTTCATTTAATATTTAAGAGTAGCGTAACAATTTATCACTTAGAGTCTCATAATTCTGAAAATCGGTCCCGGATTGAAGTTACCTTTAACAAATGAAGGGTGGTCGTTAAGGTGGATTATTTGGTGAATTAAGTCCGTTTGATTTGATTTGATTTTCAAACGGAGACATAACGATCATATTGGGTAAAATTTACCTTTTAAATTGACTTACAATTAAAAGGTTGTCTAGTTAGTTATTACCTCATAAATTAAGCCTTAACCTAGCAATGTAAAAGAAACTTGTTAAGATTTGACACGCTGTGAATCCTCTCAAGAGGGTTGCCATCGGTACGTGAATAAAAGTAGTGCATGGTTGTCGTCAACTCATGCAATAAGATGATGTATTAAGTTATGATATGAGCGTATCTCTCATGTTTAAAATCATAATCATTACATTCACATTTATTTTTAAAACTGATATTCAATGTGATTCATATTTTCGGCTAAATAACTTCACAACATCAGTTTTCCACTAAAAATAATTCTCCTAAAGTCATCTCGGTCACAATGAGGGTCATCTTGATAAAAATGTTCGCTTTAATACGAATTTAAACGATCGTAAAACACACTCTAAAAATTGACTTGAACGTAAAAAGGTATTTAATTAATTATAAACTCACAATCTGTATCTTAACCTAACAATATTGAACCACTGTGTTTATCCAACAATGGATTTTAGCGAAATATGCCATTCGCCTCCTTCATTGGGTTTGGGCCAACTAAACCAGGCGTAAAATAGAATACTGGGCGTGGCGTCAGTCCCGTGCACGAGCACCTGACTCAGGCATCCGACAGAAAAAAGATCCTCACCGTGTTTTCTGTCTACTTACTGTAATATTCTTCCATTCTTCCCAGTAAAAAGGGGAAAAAATTTAATAAAAATTCCAAGTACACCCTTGTTTGTTCAGCTAAAATTATAATTATTATTATTTTTTTTTATCAATCACACATTTTTTAATAAAAAAATATCACAGAAAATCTAAAATTTTTCTTTTCTTTTAATATACAGAATACTGTTACAAAAATTACAATGTGAAATACGGGGCTCAGTTTAAACAAGTCAAACCTCAAAAAAAACACAACCCTCACCTTAACGGGTAAAAATACACATACTTGTTGCTATTACCCTCCTCCTCGAAATTTTAAACAAAACCAATAAATTTTCCCTTTCGATTTTGGCTTTTTCTCTTACGGGTTTTTGTCAAATTTATTTTTGTTTGGGGTTAGAGTTTAATTAAGCAAGAAAGCCTCAGAGATGCAGCAACCAGGGCAAATGTTTCCAGTTACGCCTTCATTTCCTCCTACTAACATCACCACTGAGCAGATTCAGAAGGTATTCAGTATTTTTAGTTGTTTTTACACTTGTTTTATTATGGGTTATTCCGTTTCTTTGGTTTATTTGTATGAGCTTATTATCGGGTTTTGATTAAATAAATTATGGTTTTGTTATTGATATTTCATTGCTAATGGTATGGCTTTTGATTATCATTCCAATTCTGTAGAATCTATAAAGGAAAGTGAATGTCGATTGAAAACTCAAAAAGAAAGTACTGTTAATGACACTTGTTTGGGTGATACTGTGGGTAAAGTCATGAAGTTTCTGAATACTTGTTTTACATTTAATTCTTCTGATTGCATTTAGTAACTCGTATATTCGATCATTTCTGTTGGCAGTAAAAAGTAAAAAATCGCCTTTTTGTGGTCTATATATGCATTATCATAATGATAGCTCCTCATCTTTTAATCGATTTCACCTAACTAGGATTTCAAACTACTTCCTTTACACTGAACTTGTAAGTCGAAATTGATTTATTGCACCATTGTTTGATAGCTTCGAAAAACTTTTAATCGTACACATGTAAGTTATAAGTTTGTAACTATGTAAAACTTGATATATGTTGGTTAATTTGATCCAAATTTCAGTCTTTTCTTATGGCTCTCTCAAAACTAGGCCCTACTTATTTTGCAAAAAAAGTGGAATCCTTTTTACCAGTGTTGTTTCGTTTTCCAAGTTAATGAACATTGGGTAGTTGCAATGAATGTTGCGAAAGTGAGGTGATTTGACCTGGATAATTATGATTATTTTAGAGTTGGTGAATGATGAGCACATTAAAGGGGTCTTTCTGCTCTTTGGTCTCAAAACTCTTTTATACAATGGACACCTTTTTTAAAACTAGCTGATTTTTCCAAAACTATCTTTTTTTTATTTTTCTTTTAGATATGTTTGCAATTATCACTTGTAAAAATTGCCTGAAATATATTTTACTGTTCTAATTTAGTTTGTACATAAAGCATTTTCGGACCAAAAAAGTGTATACAATAAGCAAGCACATGCGTCAAGTGTGCCAAAAAAGTGTATACAATAGCTCAGTTAATTTGAGGAGACTTCATATCTTACGGCTGTTAAAAATGAAATCAGTTACTTCATGGTATCTTATGATGCTTGTTAATAGCCCAACCCTGCATGTAGCAACCACTATCTGCCTGTAGTTATAGCTTAAAATGTGCAGGTATGTGGTCTACAGTACAGTAGGTAAGAGTAGTAAAGGTCTACATGTATGTGAATTTATTACATGTTTGGCATGCTGGATCGCATAGAACTAAATAGGATTAATAAGAAAAAGAAGTTAAAACAGTGTTGTGCTGTGCAATACTAGATAACAAACATGCCATTCATGTTTATTTTTTCTTCTGTAGCATAATGACTCTAATGCTGCCGATGTGAACCCATTCCAATTTTTGTTGTTCGTAGCTGCCAACATAACTCTGAGGTGGACTTCGGGTCTGTTTAGGTTTAAGGATTACTACTGTCTATGTCCTTTACGTGGGATCACCATCCAACAGCCACAATGCTATCATTTCTAAGTATCACTATCCAGCTATATTGCTTTTATAAACATCAGCTGTCAGAAGCAGAGAGACACTGAAAGCTTTTATTTGTCCTTCTCTTTCCTAACTATAAGAGAGATGCAATGGGGTGACAAGATCATGCTGAATAAAATGTTGGGAGTGTAGCGATGGGAAGAAGATCGACGGATACTCTGCATTTTGGAATAATTTTCATGCTTTGCTGGTCTATTTTAGCCTATATAAAAAATTTCCATGCTGTAACAGATGTTCTCGATTTACGTAAAATAGGGTCTGATTCCTTTTTATTTGGTAAGTTGAGTAATTTGCCACTTGGTTTGCAAGTGAACGCATGCACAAATAAACTAATCTTCACTGGCTTATATGCAATTTCATGGTGATCCATCATATTTTCAATTTGCAGTCTCTCAATTACCTCTTATCCCGTATAACATGTAGTGCTTTACAAAAAAGATCATACTTTTTGAATGCTTCATCTCATCTTAGCAGTTTTCAATCATCAGATTTTCTGGTTTAATTTACATCCTGACATGCACTCTTGTTTTTCCATTTATGGTGTAGTACCTTGACGAGAACAAGAAATTGATATTGGCGATTTTGGACAATCAGAATCTTGGAAAACTTGCTGAATGTGCCCAGTGAGTCTCTCTCTCTCTCTCTCTCTCTGCCAGCAGCAGCACACACTTTCTCTTCTACATGTATATTTCTGTGAATTAGCTTCAAATATTGCTGAATTATGTTGCTATATCATATGCCAAAGAATGTGACATTGACCCTTTTAGAGTCTTCACAACTGGAGATGAAATAGACACTGTTGCTGACTCAATAGTTTGTGTATTCAACTACTTTCCATCATCTGACATCACATATAACTGATGCTAACAACTAAACTACAAAACTTAAATGCGTGTTTTACCACATGTAGAAGTGTTGGTTCAGATTGACAATTTATTTTTCTCTTTTCTTATTTTCGTTGGAGATGAGATATTTGGTGGCCTTGGAACGTGGACCTTTTGTTGATGCAGTATCTCTTGTGATTAGCTATATTACATCTTAGAGTTTTTCTTAGTGACCACTGTTCCAATATTCATGAGTAGGCATTCGCAGATTATCAGAATCCCTCTCGTTTGCTCTATCAACTTGTATGGTGTTTGTCCATACTTGTGCTGTGTGTGTGAGTGAATGAGAAAGAGGTCATTTATCTGAAGTAGGTTCATTTGATTTGGCTTTCAACCTTGTGTATTGATTATGTGAGTGAAACCCAGAATTCAAGAGCCTTCTAAGTTAATGGACAATACTTATTTTACTGAAAGGAAAATGCATATGATTTTGAATAAGGTACCAGGCTCAACTTCAAAAGAATTTGATGTATTTGGCAGCAATTGCCGATGCTCAATCGCAGACACCTGCGATGCCTCCCCAGGTATCTTATGACTTCAGATACTCCAATTTCACTGATAGTGTGGCACAATTTGAGCTTATTCATATGTTAGCAAATGCAGATGGTTCCGCACCCAGCAATGCAACAAGGAGGGTTTTACATGCAGCATCCTCAAGCTGCAGGCATAGGTCAGCAGCCAGGTATGTTTCCCCAAAGAGCGTCCTTACAGTTCAATAATCTACATCAAATGCAAGACCAGCAGCAGCATCTATCCCAACATCACTCCCAGCCACAAGCCATGCAAGCTCACATGGGTATGCGGCCTGCTGGGGCTAGTAATGGCATGCACCTCACAAATAACGACGCTACTCTTGGAGGGAGTGGCCTGGTTTTGAATTCCGGCCTAGCTGATATACGTGGAGGAAGTAAGCAAGATAACCCTGCGGAAGGGTCCTCTGGAGCCAATGGGCAGGGAACCTCAGATGCTGCACATGGTGGTGGAGATGGAGAGGAAGCTAAATAATGACCCTGTGAAATATCTGAAATAGTCCCTTGTAGGATTGGCATCTTTCTTGTGAGGTTTATGTATGTTCAGCAAGGTTCGGACATGAAAGTTTGTCGTTTTCTAGTGGTAGCAAAAAATTAATATTTTTCCTTTCAAGACGGCTTTTTCTCTGATTAGGGGAAGACAGTTTGGCTATAAGCTTCAGCCGTGTTCTCTAATAATTTTTGTAATGATTCTAGTATTTTATAAACAGTAAGCAGTGTTCTAAACAATTCGTTTAGGCGACGCTTAAGCTCGAAGCTTGGGCAAAATGCTTCGCTTCACGTCTAGACTCTTTTTTCAATTCCTAAATGGTTGAATTGTTTCCCTTTTCTCTTTCGTCTTATCGAGGTGTGTTTTATTCGTTTTTTTTTCTTTTGTTTTTTTAAATCTTTTATTTGACTATAGCTTATTATTATTATTTAAAAAAACTTTTCATTTGACTTTAAGTTCAAGTTTTTAAAAGATTTTATCTGTACAAAAGTCAAAAATGATTTTATCTAAATAGTTAAATAACATTTAAGATATGGTGCTATCTATATTATGTAATAATGATTTTGGGAGTCGTTATTTTGTTGCAAACTTTAAAAGCGTGTATGAAGTTCATATAAATTTAATAAGTAGGACTTGTCTAGTTGAAAATTGAAACTATGAAAAATATTCTAAATTTTGCATTTCAAAAATTTGAAAATTGTATAATTAACTAATGGTAAGAATTATTGAGTAAATATAGTGTTTTATAATTTTAGATATTTGATGTGTATTATTTTAATTATTAAATCATTTTTAAAATGATTAAAAATTTAAAATAATATTAAAAGTAAGAAAACGTTTTTTTATGTCTAAACTTCATCTAAGCTTGTTTAAACTCGTAAATCTTCAAGCTTCGCCTTTACGTCTAGTCACGTTTCACGTTTTTTAGAACACTAACATTAAGTAACTAGTACTAATTTTCATGTTGATTATGAGCGTACAAACTTTTCATGCTTTGATAACATTCTTGACTAAAGCATAAATGATATTTAGGTGTTGTGTGCTTTGTATGCCATAGGTTGTCCCTCGTTTTTATTAAGTTTGAAATTTGCTATAGCTATCTATAGCCCATTATTGCACCATAAAGTATGCCGTCCTAATGACATGTTTGATGAGGTAAATTAAATAGAATAATGTTAAGTTTACATTGTTTGGTTAACATCATTGTTTACATCCTATTAGAGTTCAAAAATTGTGGACGGGAAAGTGTTTTCTTTTTTTTAATTGTCTAATGATGTGTTGTCACGTGACACAATGTCAAGAATGATGTACATGTAGCATGATTTGATTAAAAATAAGTTAAAATCTTGTGTATTATACAATTTTTTTTGTTTTTGTTATTCTCATTTTTGAAGTTAGTCGTGAAAACAGAATTTGTAATCGTAACATCTATAATCTATATTTTCCGTGTGGGAGAGAAATTTAGTCATGCAATCTGTCATTCACTCAGTTTGTTAAACAAACAGTTTTCCAATTTGTTGAAACTTTGTGCATTTTGCTCAGTCTTCCATCTTCCGCACCAGAAAAATTATTAAAATTTGGGTTCTGAATTTGAATATGTACTTTTTCTTATCCTAATGGAATGTTTCATTGTAAAGAATAAAGAGAAAAGGGCAACTGGGCAAGTCCCAAATGAAGGAGTCTTCAATTTGCTTTGGTTCGCCAAAGAAGAAAAAAGGAAAAAAAAAGAGAAGAATTATTAAAATAGGAAAAAAGAAAAAGAAAAAAAGTCGTACAAAGACCTCGGTGATTTCTGGGAATTTTCTCGAAAGAAACCCAACAAGAATTCTGCATCTCAAAAATAAATAAATAAATAAAATAATATATATATATATATATATATAAGAAGTGGATTCTTAGAGTAATTATCTATGTTTAGAAAAAAAAATCGCCACAGGTAATTAGCAGTTTCTTAAACAAGAAATTGAAGCCTTAATAAAAATTTATATATATTTAGTCATTTTCAAATGACTATGTGTAGTAAACTCAGCCATATTTTCTTCTTTATTCTTTCCATTTTTTTCTTTTCAGTGGACTTGAATTTTGGAGCCAAGAAAACTTTAGCGAAGAATAAGATGAAACAAGAACCACCACCACTTCCGCCGCAGCACCACCGGAAGAGACTGATGGTTTTTGCCTTAAAGAAGTTCACTAAACCTACTTCTTATTTTATCCTTCTTCTACTAACCTACTATCTAGGTTATCTATCTGCACCCTCTTCCACCTCAAAAAAACCTACTTCGACATCAAGAATTCCTATCCGAGCCACCGCCACCAGCTCCGCAGCTCCAGTAGCTGACCACAACAGCTTTTCAATTCAGTGTGTCGATCCGGTTAACTCGGAAAAAGTCCGCCAAACAGTTCTTGACCGAGTCTTCCATGGCATATCCCCGTGGCAAAACTTCCCCCCTGCGCACGTTAGCACCCTCCTCCGCCAGAACCGGATTAAAGGATGGGGCTCCACCGGCGCAGTCTTCGATAACCTCATCCGGCGGGTGAGGCCCAAGACCATAATTGAGGTGGGCACATTTCTTGGCGCGTCGGCTCTTCACATGGCGAAGTTGACTCGCAAACTCGGGCTCGAGACTCAGATACTCTGCATTGACGATTTCCGGGGCTGGCCCGGGTTCTTGGACAAATTCAGGGAAATGAAAATGGTAAACGGAGATGTTATGCTCATGTACCAATTCATGCAGAACGTAGTTTATGCAAATGCAACTGAATCAGTCCTGTTCTTGCCATTCTCCACCGCGTCAGCTCTCGATAAACTCTGCGAGTGGGGAGTGTTCGCTGAGTTGATTGAAGTCGACGCGGGTCATGATTTTCACTCGGCATGGACGGATATAAACAAGGCCTATAAGATTTTGAGACCTGGTGGTGTCATTTTTGGGCATGACTATTTTACTTCTGCGGATAATAAAGGCGTTAGAAGAGCGGTCAACATGTTTGCTCGACTCAATCATCTTCGAGTTCAACTCGATGGGCAGCACTGGGTCATCGAATCGAACTAACTCGTTACAAGTCCAACGTGTATTAGTTATTAAAATTTTATGGAAACTTTAGTGCACAAAATTGAATAATATTACCAAAGAAAGAAAGGTTGAAAGTTTATTTTTGCTTCCCAAATATTTCGAACTAGTGTAATAAGGTGGCTTTATCTTGTATAAGAAAAAGTATTTGACAAATTCTCCACCAATCTGTGTTTTTCCATTCACAATAAGAGAGTATATATATTACAGTCAGTTGCCGAGAAAAACTTCTATTTACCTAAAATACAAAGACTAAATTAAGGAAAAATATTTCTCAAGAGATATGCACAATAAAGTCCTACACCACAATATTAATACCCCCTCCCCCCCTCCCGGAGCGTGAAGATCTCGAACGCCCAACTTGCAAAGGAGAAACTCAAATTTCGCTTTCCCCAACGCTTTTGTAAAGATGTCTGCCAATTGAACACTAGTGGAAACATATGACGGACAAATCATCCCTTCAGTAACTGCATCTCGAACAAAATGATAGTCAGCCTCTATATGCTTTGTTCTTTCGTGAAAAACTGGATTTTGAGCAATGTACAACGCTGGCTGACTATCACAATACAACTTCATACCTTCGGATGCCGCACACCCAAGTCAGTCAAAAGTTGTTTAAGCCACTTTAACTCACATACTGTTGCCGCCATAGATCTATACTCAGCCTCCGCAGACGATCTAGACACTGTTTGTTGCTTCTTGGTCTTCCACGACACAGGAGAACAACCAAGCAACACGAACCATCCTGTCAAGGAACGCCGCGTAAGTGGGCACCTAGCCCAATCCGAGTCACACCACCCTTCTAGACTGAGAGCACTATCAGCACGAAGCAAAATCCCTTGCCCTGGACTCTTCTTCAAATATCTCACAACCCTGAGAGCCGCCTCCCAATGATCCTCACGAGGTTGTGGCATAAATTGGGATAAAATATGAACCGAATATGCAAGATCAGGTCTCGTCACAGACAAGTAAATCAATCTTCCTACAAGTCGCGTATACGGCGCCGGCTCCGCAAGAAATTCGCCCTTAGCAAGGGCTAAAATGTGATTTTGTTCCATAGGAAATGCCGCAGGCTTTGCTCCCAATAAACCCGTTTCAGAAACTATCTCGAGTATGTATTTTTTTTGGCAAAGAAAAATTCCTTCTGGATTGCAGGCTACCTCTAGCCCTAAGAAATATTTCAAAACTCCCAAATCCTTCATATGAAAGCACCTGCCAAGGTAGTCTTTAAAAGTTAGCAATGCAACTTTATCATTCCCTGCAATAATCAAGTCATCAACATAAACTAACACGTTGATCTGAGTTCTTCCCCTGCACAACCCAAATAATGAATAATCTGAATAGGATTGTACAAATCCATAATTCTTCAACGCTGTTGACAATTTTGTAAACCAACATCGGGGAGCTTGTTTCAGACCATACAAGGACTTTTTCAACCTGCAAACCATGTTAGGATTTGTATTCTTGAAACCTGGAGGAACCTTCATATAAACCTCCTCACTTAAGTCACCGTGAAAGAAAGCATTATGCACATCCATCTGATGAACATCCCAATGTTTAACAGCAGCAATTGTAAGAAAAACACGAACCGTCACCATTTTAGCCACAGGACCAAATGTCTCGTTATAGTCAATTCCTTCCACCTGATGATTGCCATAGATCACAAGCCTCGCTTTGAGTCGCTCTATGCTGCCATCGGACTTATACTTAATTTTATATATCCACTGGCTCCCTAGTGCTTTCTTTTTGGGAGGAAGAGTCTCCATTACCCAAGTCTCATTATCTTCAAGGGCTCGTATCTCCTTACCCATCGCATCTCGCCATCCCGAGTCTTTCATTGCTTCTTTAAAATGCTTTGGCTCATGTCCCATTGTGACGGCGGCAAGAAAATTCCTGTGTCTCATAGAAAAACGTTCACAATTCACAAAATGTGTTATAGGATAGGGTGTACCTGAGGAAGATGAAGGAGTTGATGAATTCTCAGATGGACTTATTTTCCGTATAGTATGAGTAACAAAATCACGATACCTTGTTGAAGGAATTTTGGCTCGGTTTCCTCGTCCTAGCTCAATGGCAACTTGCACACCTTGCTCCTCCACCGTATTCTCCAGGCCCTCATCGCACACATCCTCATGTACGGGCTGCTGCACGGGCTGCACCGCAGCACCAGACCCCTCCTCGAGAGTGGACGCTGCCCCCAATTCCCCCTCAACGCACACAGCACACTCATCGGCACCCTCATCCTCACTCCAGGCCCCCTCCTCACTGTTCACCAGCATAGGAGTCACCACACTCCGTGGTTTGGTAGTCGCAAAAGGAAATTCGTTCTCAAAGAACTTCACATCCCTCGATACAAAGTACTCATGTGTTTCTAAATCATACAATTTCCAACCTTTCTTCCCAAAAGGATAGCCAACAAAAACACACTTACGGCTCCGACTTGCAAATTTATCACCTTTGTGTCGCTGATTATGAGCATAGCACAGGCAACCAATTACACGAAGAGCATCATAAGAAGGCACTTTCCCATACAACATTTCATATGGCGATTTAGACTAAAGTAAAGTAGAGGGTGTTCTATTAATCAAGTGACATGCTGCCAACACACATTCGCTCCAAAATTTGATTGGTAAGTTCCCTTGAAATCTTAATGCTCTAGCCACATTTAAAATATGTTGGTGTTTTCTCTCAACCCTCCCGTTTTGTTGTGGAGTTCCAACACAAGAAATCTCAAAAATAATTCCAGTATGTTGAAAATAATCATGCAAACAATTAAATTCAGTCCCATTGTCACTTTTCACACGTTTTATCACTTGTTCAAATTGTCGTTCAACCATAGCAACAAAAGTAAGAAACATAGATTCGACTTCCATTTTATTGCATAGTAAATATACCCAAACTCCTCTTGAAAAATCATCGACTATTGTTAAAAAATAAGTAGCCCCACATGAAGACCGAGTCTTGTAAGGCCCCCACAAATCCAAATGAACAAGTTCAAAAATCATACCAGCTTTATTCGTACTAATGGGAAAACCAGATCTAGGTTGTTTTGCACGCGGACATACATCACAAGCTTTATTATTTTTTCGACAAGAATGATTCACAGCCGGAATCATCTTCACTACTTTCTTCGACGGATGCCCCATTCGTTGATGCTATAACTCGAACGATGAATCACCATCCACTGTCAAGACGTTCACTTGAGGAACACCACGGAAAAAATAAAGTCCATCCGATCGTTCACCCGCTCCAATCACCTTCCTCGTCGGTTGGTCCTGTATAACACAAATATTATTAGTGAATTGTACAACGCAATTTGATTCATCAATTAATTGAGTCACAGAAATTAAATTGCATGTTAATTGTGGGACATAAAGCACGTGGTCAAGCTGCAATCCTCCTGGCAACATGACACTGCCCTCTTGGTTTGCTTCTGTCATGTTTCCATCCGGCAATCCCACCGGGCATGGTATCACCATTCTCATATTTTGCAAAATAGATAAGTTACACGTCACATGGTTCGATGCTCCTGTATCGATAATCCAACAGAAATTAATGTCCTTACCATACAACTGATCCTTTGTTTTGGCTAAGTTCAAAAAATCTAGAAGTTGCTGCAGTTGCGATGCTGAAATACCCGCAAGACCCGCAGCTTCGGTCGCACCTGCCAGCCCCTGCGAGTTCCTTGCCTGCTGCCCAGACGAAGCTCCAACCCCGCTGGTTTTATTTGCGCAGACAGGCAGTGCACCATAGCCTCTGCCACGGCCAGAACCAGAAAGCCCACGTCCTCTACCTGTCCGTCCTCCACCACGACCCGGTCCCCTTCCTCCGCGAGGTCTCTCCCCCCACCATTCGGGGAACCCGTGTAATTGAAAACAAGAGGATTCGTCGTGACCTTCTCTATTACAATGCTTGCAAAACTTGTCAGTATTATCCAGAAAACGAGACTTACCACGCGCATCAGGCCGAATTGCGAAGGCCATGATACTATCTCGTTCTTCCTTGGATGAGGACAACTCTCCTCCACGAAGTTGTTCCGCTTGAATCACTTGTTGATATGCTCGATCAAGCGTCGGCAATGGCTCTTGTCCAAGCAGATGTGTGCGAATGGAGACATACGTGCTATCGAGGCCGATAAGAAAGTGATGTAGAAAGTCCTTTGCTCTCAATTTTTCTACCTGCGTGACTATGCTACACTTGCAAATTCCACACGCACAAACCGGCACCTTCAAATATGTGGTCAGTTCGTCCCAGATTTTTGACAAACGACCAAAATACAATGTCACACTCTCAGGTTTTCCTTGCTTGCACTCCCCCAAGGACGTTTTTAATTGACATATACAAGTGCCGCTTACCACATAAAACCTGTTTTTGAGATTGTTCCACAGGAGTTGTGCATCATCATATTCTCCAAGTGTTGACCGAACGGATAGCTCAATGGTATTGGTTAGCCACGACACCAACATCGAATGCACAACTATCCAATCCTCAAGTTTCTCCTCTGTTGATGGCTTCGGAACTGTCCCTTCCACAAAGCCAAATTTCCTCTTCGCCTTTAGCGAGGTTCGAATTGCCCTCGCCCATTCATCGTAGTTCTCACCACGTAACTGAATCGGGGTAATGATGTTTCCCGGACCGTCACTCGAGCCAAGATGATACATCATATCCACCTTCCTGTCACCATCTCCTCGCTTTTCTCCCTCTTTGCCAGCCATGATCTCTCGTGGAGGCTATAGTATGGAAAAAAATTTGTGTTTGCCCTAGAATCTCCCTAGGCGCTCTGATACCATGAAAAATTCTCCACCAATCTGTGTTTTTCCATTCACAATAAGAGAGTATATATATTACAGTCAGTTGCCGAGAAAAAAGATCTATTTACCTAAAATACAAAGACTAAATTAAGGAAAAATATTTCTCAAGAGATATGCACAATAAAGTCCTACACCACAATATTAATATCGTAATAGTATTCTATAATAGAA